CAGTGATCTCAGCCTTCCTGTTGAGGCACCCCTCTTTGACTCGGTCCCCTACCAAACCTTACAGGGTAATCAAACTTAAAGAGCTCAGAGGACCCCCCTCTAGCCTTAGGTTCAAAGTACAGCAAACAGAGATAAACACTCTAGCAAAAGGTACATTTACAAGTTGAGAAAACAAAGATAAACTAACACGCCTTGCCTGGCTATTTACTTACAAGTTTGAAATATGAGAGACTTGTTCAGAAAGATTTGGAGAACCTGGATTGATGTCTGGTCCCTCTCAGTCCCAAGAGCAAACAACTTCCCAAACAAAGAGCACAAACAAAAGCCTTCCCCCCTCCCCCAAGATCTGAAAGTATCTTGTCCCCTTATTGGTCCTTTGGGTCAGGTGTCAGCCAGGTTACCTGAGCTTCTTAACCCTTTACAGGTAGAGGGATTTTGGAGTCTCTGGCCAGGAGGGATTTTATAATACTGTACACAGGAGAGCTGTTACCCTTCCCTTTATAGTTATGACAGCCTGTCAATATTTTGTCCAAGTATCCAAAATATGCCTGTTTAAACTTCTGATAGCTAGAATAATGAATTTTACCTGGACTATGGACAAATCACACTGTAATTGACTATTTCTTTCCCCCGCCCATAGACTGAAACTGAGACATTACGGTACACCAGACCTTTTCAGATACTTGGCTACAATAGATAGTGACATAGTAGTTCCCAGCTCTACCTACACAGGCTAGGACAATAGAGCGGTACAAGGGTACCATAGGAAGGGGAGGAAGTGGGCCACAGAAAGCATTATGGTAAAAAAGAGTTAGGAAAATAAATCTCTGATAATATTAAAATATGGGCTTTTTTACACAATACAATGCCTTATTATTCTGAATAGGGTCTTTCATACATGCCTGTTGGTCTCCAGGTGGAGTTATGGTGTTGGTTTTGGCCTATAAAGTTTAGAATCTGCCTACCTGAGGGACAACCTCTCTCTTCATGCCATATAACCACAGCTGTAATTAGAGAAGGAGTCTGAGCTGGAGCACCCTGGGGTTAAAAGAGAAGGGGCTGCAGGCAGGAAGTTTTGGGTGGCCCTCAACTTTTTGGCTCACTCCTCCCTTTGATCTGAAATATCCTAAATCTACTGACCTTTCAGCAATGCTGGAAAGGGAGGAGGAAATGAGTGGAGGTGTTTGTGGGTAGCATGGGGTATTTTTGATTAATTTTTGGCTGGCTACACTGCAATACACTGGCCACAAAACCAGGATGCTGGACTGGTGGACACTGAGGGGCTGTGTTTTCAGTTTTTTTCAGAAGTGCCTAGAGCAGAGACCAGATAAATTTTTATTGAATGTATAAATCTAAATCTAAGTAAAATAAAACAGATGCAAACTGTATGTCAAAATGCTTTCCAGAGTTACAGAATACAATTACAGTCAGATAAACTGTATCAGGGAGAAAAAAGAGGGAATAATGGAGAAAAAAGGTTTTCAGATGAAATTTGAAATGAGGTAGATGAAAGGAGACTATACCATACAGGAAGCTTGTTTCAGATGGTAGGAGCTGTAGCTGGGGAGGTTCCTATACACAAATTATATTGGGGGACAGAGGTGCCAGTTCCTGAGAGAAAAGAGTAGAGAGATCAGGTACATGACATAGATTGGAAGACCTCCATTGTGGCCTTTAAAAACAGAGGCCAATTTTGAACTGCATCTTTAAATAAATAGAGAGACAATGTGGGTGAGATAATTTATTTAACCAATTTCTGTTGGTGAGAGAGACAAGCTTTTGAGCTAAGCAGCTTGAAAACTCATCTCTCTCACCAACAAAAGTTAGTGCAATAAAAGATATTACCTCACCCCCCTTGCCACCCTAATATCCTGGGGCCAACATGACTGTAATTGTATTCTGTAACTCTGGAAAGCATTTTGACATACAGTTTGCATCTGTTTTATTTTACTTATCTTTAAAAAACAGAAGTCAAAGAGGAACAATACTGGACTGGCTAGATCCACCACAATACCTGACTGGCTAGCTCAAAAGAGGAAGGAGCTGCTGTGGTATTGTGGGCTGGGCACCAGGAATAAGTAACAATGTTTAAAAGTTTAATGGCTAAGGAAGACACTGATTAGAGTCTTGCTCTTTTCTGTTTTGAAATCTGATTTCCAGCCTCTTTCCTTGCTGTCATGAGAAGACTAAGCACATGAGCAATAACTTCAGAACTCCTCTAGGAAGTAAGTAAAAACAGACAAATATTTGTGATGAATAATGTATATGCAATACATAATCTCTCCTCTCAGTATTTCTTGTCAGGGTAGCATATTAGATAGATAATTATATCAGTTTATATTTATTTAAATCATATCCAGGCAAGATTGGTGAGGATTTGAACCTATAACCATTTGCATTCAAGGCAGGGAGGTTCCACTAGCCCACCAAACCTGCACTTACGGTGGCTGCACTTGTTTAAATAGTGTGGTTCATTTACACATTCATGTTGTGTGAAACAGTTTGCTCATGCCTGTCACTACTGGCCATTAATTTTTAAAGTATATTTAGCTCTTGACAAATGCAAAGATGAATTTAGAATATTTATGCTTGAAATTGAAGCTAAACAACTGCAAGGAGTTTACAAGAAGGGAGGAAGAATAATCTTTGTGGCTGAAGCACAGGACTAGGAGTCAGGTGAAATGGGTTCTATTTCTGGCTCTGCCACAGCCTTCCTGTGTGACCTTGAGCAAATCATGTTTAATCTACCTGCCTCAGTTGGAGATACGAACTCTGACCTACCATAGTGGGGTGTTGTGAGGCTGACAGTACTAGTGACTGTAAAATGCTAGATGCTTCTGAAGTGAAAAGTGCTATAGAAATGAAACATGTTATAAGCAGCAGTCTACACAGGAGAAACAGAGTGGCAAGATGATTTATATTTTCCTTTAAAAAAAATCTCTTTAAATAGGGACAATTGCCATGAATAATGTCAGGGTAAGAACCTCAAAATTCCTAGTCTTCAGATCACGCCTCCTCTCCCTTCCCCATTTTAAGTATTGACCATATTTATAAAAAAGACCATCAAACTCCCCAAAAGGAAGCAAATCTTACTTTAAATGGAGCAATTAGTATTTGATAAAAATTACTTTTATTGTTACCACAAATTATTTATATCATGGACAAATTGTTTTGTTGCTGTTAATTTCAGTTATTATTTGTAATTGTTACAAACTATTCATACACATTACACTTTGAAACACTATTCCCCCCACCCCACCCTGTCATGCCCCTTTGGGGGCAGACACTCCCACCTCAGCTGATATGCTAGGGCCAGATCCTGCAAACACTTTTGCATGCAAATAACTTTTCTCAGTCCCCTAAGGCCAGATCCAAAGCCCACTGCAGTCAATGGGAGCCTTTCCACTGACTTCAGTGGGTTTTGAAGCAGGCTTCTAGTGCATAGGGAAATACTGGTTCTACCTATTTACACAAGGACATTATTTGTAAGAGACAACATGTCTTATTTAAACCTACCCTTAAAAGTATTTCTATGGGAACCGGGCAAAGTAAAAGCACCTGTACTTGCAGGATAAAGGACTTTTGTGGAATTGAGAGGTTTTATGTTTAGTTCTTTGTCAGAACTAAAGCACAGAGTCCTTTCTTTACACCTTGCTCCAATTGTGGAAGGATTTTGTTTCAGCCTAAATAAGGACAATAATAATAATGATTAATTATTAATTAATACAACCCACTGACTGTTCCTCAGAGACAACATAGCAAGGCAGAGTTTCAATTCCCTTCCAAGTGATTGTGTGGTAAAACCATCTACAAAGAGAAAAAAAAAGAAAAGGGATCAGGACACACACACACACACACCCTATACAAGTGGCTCATAGAAAGGCTGCCTCTATTTATAGGTACCTTGTTGGTACTGAGAGCTATCCATTATGCTAGTCTGTGTTTGTGATGCTAAAGTACAAATAGAAACAGAAGGAAATGAGCAGTGAAATGTTTTCTCAGAGCATAGATAAAGTTATGGCAGCAGGGTATTGAAGTATGTGACATTTATTAAGAAAGCACTAGTTAGTCACTTTTCACAAGCCATTGGTATTTGATTGTTCAGAAGCTGACTACCTTCCATTGTTAAGTAACAGGATTACTGCATGTTTCAAAACAGACTACAGCTTTTTTTTTTTGGTGTGTGTTCTGTCTGCAGATGTTGCTATGAAGAAAGAAGTTAGAAATGACTGATGTGGAGCCTGTGGTCACAGATTTTGCAGCATCGGGAAGGGCAGGCCGCCGAAATGCCTTACCAGATATTCTGGGTTCTCCAGCTGGGGCTGGGGCAGGGACTTCAGACCTGCCACACAAACTAGCTGAACTTTCTGTGTCAAAAGGTAATGCCTACAAATTGGTGAGATAACATGCAGTTATCCTCCATTTTCTCTCAAGACTTTTACCACTTCTTTCAGTTATGATGTCAAGTGCAATGGCAGTATTTCTTCTCTAGCTAAATCTTCATCTGTTTTCCAAAGCAGCCATTAGTTGTGCCCATTAATTGGGAAAGGTTAATTTTATACCAGACTTCAGCTAAACTTGCCATATCCACCCTTATGCCTGTTGTTCACTAGCTGGGGAGCTGGAATTAAAAGATGAATTCCAAATCCATGCAGCAACAACAACAAAAAACAACCACCCACACCACAACACTGTTGTGCCTCCGATCATCTTGTTAGTTGGTTACTCGCCTTATGTGCCAGATTCTCTTCTGCACTGGGGTCTCAGCACAGGAGGGCAAGAGGTGTCAGGAAGCCACTTACAGCACCCCAATTCCAAAACCACCGCAGCTTTGGCCCCAACTCAAGCATAAATCGAGCCATCTAGGGATGTACCTATCACCCCAGGAGACCATATGCCAGCTGTAAATTTGTGGAGGAGAGCTGTGTTCTGCCTTGTCCTCCTCTGCCAGGGTGGAGAAGGAGTGGTGAGGAGACAGCTACACCAGCTTTACCCCAGCTGAGAATTTGCTCAACCGAAGGGGATTTTCAGCTAGTTTCTGGCCCTTTGGTGCTCTCAAAGAGAGAAGCTGTTCCCATTATTTATTTTCCATGGTTGTCTTATCTGCAGTTTCATATATCTTTGAGGTTCTATAACTGATATTTCTAACCCACTGCGGATCACGGGAGACTTGTGAGAGAGTAATGAACAGGCAGACCTTTTCTCAGCAGATCCTACAGGAAGATAGAGCACTTGAGTAGAGGAGTAAAAAGGTATCAATTTGCCACCTGCTGGCTTGAAACGAGAAGGGTGGAAAAAGAATCAGAAATTTAGGATGTATGTGTTTGGCGAACAGAAGCACAAAGTTAAAGGGCAGAGCATTATAAAGTAGAGGGGGAAAGAGATGGGCACAGAAAGAAGAATCATAGAAATGTAGGGCTGGAAGAGACCTTGAGAAGTAATCGAGTCCAGCACCCAATGCTGAAGCAGGACCAAATAAACCTAGACCATCCCTGACAGGTATTTGTCCAACCTGTTTTTCTAATGTCTATCCTAAATCTCCATTGCTGAAGATTAAGCCCATAACGTTTTGTCCTACTTTGAGTGGACATGGAAAACAAATGATCACTGTCCTCTTTAGAATATAAGAACATAAGAATGGCCATACTGGGTCAGACCAAAGTTCCATCTAGCCCAGTATCCTGTCTTCCAACAGTGGCTAATGCCAGGTGCCCAAGAGGGAATGAACAGAACAGGTAATCATCAAATGATCCATCACCCATTCCCAGCTTCTGGCAAACAGAGGCTAGGGACACCATCCCTGCCCATCCTGGCTAATAGCCATTGATGGACTTATCCTCCATGAGTTTATCTAGTTCTTTTTTGAACCCTGTTAGTCTTGGCCTTCACAACATCCTCTGACAAGGAGTTCTTTATAACAGCTCTTAACATATTTGAGGTCTGTTATCAGGTCCTCCCCTTAATCTTCTTTTCTCAAGAATAAACATGCACAATATTTTTAACCTTTCCTCATAGGCCAGATTTTCTAAACCTTTAATCATTTCTGTTGCTCTATTCTGGACTCTCTCCAATTTGTTCACATCCTCCCTAAAGTCTGGTGCCCAGAACTGGACATAATACTCCAGCTGAGGCCTCACCAGTTCTGAGCAGGGCGGGATAATTACCTCCCATGTCTTATATTTGACACACCTGTTAATGCACCCCAGAATGATATTAGCCTTTTTTGCAGCTGCATCACATTGTTGACATATATTCAATTTGTGATCCACTAGAACTGCCAGATTCTTTTCAGCAGTACTACCACCTAGCCAATTATTCCCTATGTTGTAGTCGTGCATTTGATTTTTCCTTCCTAGGTGTAGTACTTTGCAGTCATCTTTATTGAATTTCATCTTGTTTGTTTCAGACCAATTCTCCAATTTTTCAAGGTCATTTTGAATTCCAATCCTGTCTTCCAAAGTGCTTGCAATCCTTCCCAGTTTAGTGTCATCTGCAAATGTTATAAGTATATTCTCTTCTATATTATCCAAGGCCTTTATAAAAATATTGAATAGAACTGGACCCAAGACTGACCCATGGGACCCCACTAGGTATGCCCTCCCAGTTTGACAACAAACTATTGGTAACTACTCTTTGAGTGTGGTAATTCAACCCGTTGTGCACCCACCTTGTAGTAATTTCATCTGTACCCAATTTCCCTAATTTGCTTATAAGACTATCATGTGAGAATGTGTCAAAATCCTTACTAAAATCAAGTAACTGACTTGACTACTTCTCCCCTATCCACTAGACCAGTAGCCCAGTCCAAGAAGGCAATTAGGTTGTTTTGGCATGATTTGTTCTTGACAAATGCGTGCCGGCTATTCCTTATAACCCTATTATCCTCTAGATCCTGACAAACTGATTATGTAATAATTTGTTCCAATATCTTTCCGGGTACAGTAGTTAGGCTCACCAGTCTGTAATTGCCTGGGTCCCCTTTGTTCCCCTTTTGAAAGATAGGTGCTATGTTTGCTCTTCTCCAGTCCTCTGGGAACTCACCCGTCTTCCATGAGTTTTCAAAGATAATTGATGATGGTTCCAAGATTGCTTTAGCTAGAAGGGAAAGACAGTAGGGGTGGTCCAAAGATATTGCCTTAGGTTTAGGGGAAGGCAGCGTAGGCCTTAGTGCTGGCAGCCCTAAGTGTCTGACAGCAGTGAAGGCAGGTAATGGGAACTGAATCAGGCCCTAAGGTCAATGGAAAAACTCCCCTTCAGTGAGAGCTGGATCAGACCTCTAGAGAAACTGAGATCTTAACCTCTCCCTGCAGGCATTTGCATTATAAAAGAGGCTGGCCTTAGTACTTGTAGCACTACGGGTATGTCTACATTGCTATTAGACATCCAGGGCTGGCCTGTGCCAGCTGACTTGGGCTGTTCAATTGCAGTGTAGATGTTCAGGCTCAGACTGCAGCTGAAGTTCTGGGACCCTCCCACCGCACAGGATCCTAGAGCCCAGACCCCAGCACAAGCCCCTGCATCTACACTGCAATTAAACAGCCCTTTAGCCTGAGTCTGAGTCAGCTGGCATGGGCCAGCCATGAGTTTTTAATTGCAATGTAGACATACCCCATGAGTCCACTCCACCACATTCTTGATACATATTATAATGAGAATTATTTATGATGGTCAACGTATAAGATTTCATTTGACAAGAACTGTGATAAATCTTTCTACTCTGAGCTCAGCATGGTTCCCTTTATGCTCAGACTGGGGAAAGGAGAGCTGCAATAGTGTAATGAGGGTAAATGCAGGTAAATGGAGATTACCAACTTCACATTTGGGGAATATAGAGTTTAGTTCAGGTTCATTTACCCGCTTTTCTTTTTTTTTACCTACTACACCACTGGGGAGCTGCCATTTCCATTACTGAATGGGATGTAGCTGAGAACAATGTGGATTTGGGCTGTTATTCACAGCTGGAGCTGTGGAGGTGGAAACACTGCATTAGCCAAGCCCAATGAAATATTCATTGGCTTAAAAAAAATCTTATTAAGCTTTATATAGTTCAGCACAATCAGAGACACATAACTAACTTGAATAAAATGGAGTTAACAAAACAACTGGAGATCAAGAAAGATTCCTCCCATTTGTTTCATTTTAGCCTCTGGAAAGCTTAGTTGTTGAAAAAAAAAAGGGCTTCTTACAGCACAGAGCCTCTCCCCTTAGTCTTTTACCACATGCAAATGAACATGAAAGAGTGATCACCTTGTTAAAAGAAATGCCAAGGCATTACACAAAATGACATAAGTATTTAGGCCTCCAGACAGAATAATCATCCACTCCTGGTGCCCATCCAATCTATTATTAAGAACAAATAAAACAGAGATACAGTAGCTCCAGCAAAATGTGCTGTTTCTTTCACATGAATACAGGGATGTAATCTGCAGAGATTGGAAGAACAATGAATTATCAATTGCTCTTAACACTGTTGTAGACCAGTGCTGTTTCTGAAAAGGGCTGCTTTTGAATCCTCCATTTCTGATATCAGTAATTTGCAATGGTGAAAATGAGGTAATAGGAAGTTTGCACAGGATTGGGGTCAATTTGGCTCTAACTTTAGGGATGACTCAGGGGTGCTGTATGAGCAGAGAGTTCTCAGAGGGTTTCCCTGACACTAGCTACAGAATGGTTCTGTATCATTCTAGTACAGGGGTCAGTAACCTTTCAAAAGTGGTGTGCCGAGTCTTCATTTATTCACTTTAATTTAAGGTTTCACGTGCCAGTAATACATTTTAATGTTTTTTAGAAGGTCTCTCTCTATAAGTCTATATTATATAAACTATTGTTGTATGTAAAGTAAACAAGGTTTTCAAAATGTTTAAGAAGCTTCATTTAAAATTAAATTAAAATGCTGATCTTACACCGCCAGCCTGCTCAGCCTGCTTCCAGCCTGGGGTTCTGTTCACCTAGGTCGGCAGCGGGCTGAGCGGGGCCTGTGGCCAGGACGCCGGCTGTCAAGGGGCTGGCAGCCAGGACCCCAGACCTGGGGTGGGGGTTCAGGGGTCAGGGCAGAGGGCTGGGTGTGTGTGGGAGGTGCAGGGCAGAAGGCTAGGTGAGTGGAGAGTTCAGGGGTCAGGGCAGAGGGCTGGGGGTGTGTGGGGGTGCAGGGCAGAAGGCTGGGGGGGAGTTCAGGGGTCAGGGCAGAGGGCTGGGGGTGTGTGGGGTGCAGGGCAGAAGGCTGGGGGGGAGTTCAGGGGTCAGGGCAGAGGGCTGGGGGTGTGTGGGG